CCCCCCCCCCCCCCCCCCCCCCCCCCCCCCCCCCCCCCCCCCCCCCCCCCCCCCCCCCCCCCCCCCCCCCCCCCCCCCCCCCCCCCCCCCCCCCCCCCCTTAATGAAAAACAGGTGTAATTTTTGAAATGTGTGCCAAAAATGTATGTTATTTAAAATAGTTTTCATGTAATAAGCCCTTCTTTTTTCAACTAAATCGAGTTAAATGGAACAGATTTCGCACTTGTCCACTCAGCACCGCCATAAAATAGAAAAAAGTAGGGTTTTTGAGGTCATTCAGCCCCTTTCCTTGACCCAATAGTCACTGGAGTAACCAAACTAGCCTGCACAAAGGACAGAGCATCCAGCCAATCCACCCATACCATTGGCACTTTGGAGGAACTAGTACTCTATTTGTGTGGTTATTTTATCACTGGCTCTTCTGGAACCACTCAAGGGTTAATTAAAAATGAAAAAGCTTTTATATCAACTTTTTGAGATTTGAAAAAAGAAAGAAGTCGCACGAACTGAGATCCGAAGAATATGGTCGGTTTGGATATGATTCGGCACAATTTTCTCCCACAAAATGCGTTTGCAAACAATGCTCTATATGGCCTCGCGTTATCGTCGTGAAAATTGACACCTCAAAGATTGGTCTTTCCTCTCTTTTTTGGTACGGTTTTACAGACTTGTTTTGGGTAGCTATTGACATACTAACTTCCAATTATATCGTTTCAGCATGTCCTGATGGTATAGACTTGATTGAACCAGATTTTGTGAAGAACATAGCCACTATTCATCTATCGAAACTTTTGTTTCAACAAATTTTGGTTGATCGCGATTCAGTTTTTGACACCCGGACGTTTGACTGCGCTTTTGTTTTTGGGTTATAATGACTGAAGAATGACTCTTCACCATACATAATGTCGAGTACACGACCGGATTAGCTTCTTCAAATCTGTTCAGTGAATGGCGGCAAAACTCAGTATGAAACTGTTTTTGGTTGTTGATCAGTTGGTGGCACACATATCTAGTACGAACCTTGTGCAATTCTAAGTAGACATTAATTATTGAATTAACCGCTGACAAACTAATGCCCAGGGGGGCCTTGTACCAGTTCGTATGCTGGATAGTGGCAATTTTCAATTATTACCTAAACAGCATCAATCGTTCCTTTGCTGACGTCAGCTGATGAGCTACCTGAACGAGCACGAACTTCAATACTGAAACTGCTCCGGTGAAATTCACGCGGACAATCGAAAAGTGTACTATCTGAAAGTGCTTGGTCCCTACATACCTGCAGTAAACAGGCATGGCTTTTCTTGTACGTTAAGACAATTTTACAATCATGTAGAATCATAGTTTAAATTTATGCTCGTGGGAGTTCAAAAGTTATTTAAAAATTAGTGTATGACTGATCTACAAGAAATTCAAAAATCCAACGACACACAAGACTTAAAAGCCTGAATTTCGCACATAATCCTAAAGATGTCTAAGCATTATAGTGGAATACTTGAACTCAAATTACGACTTTTAGGAGAACCGAGTGAAAAAACTTTTGTAGTGCCTATGTAACACGAAAAACATCGAATTTCTCTTACAGTCACATAAGAGCAACTAAGGTGTGTTTATACCTTTTTGAAAAATCTACTACACTCAAAGGCTGATCATATGCCACATCACTGACTAGTATCACCTAGTATATGTCGTACAAATATGAGATCTAACTGTCCATGTAAAAAGAAGAAATATAATATTTCAAAAAAACTATTTTTTTGTTTTTCTGAAAATGTCTTTCTGCCCCTTGCAAATAAAAGATTTTTCTTTATCAACTTTTGCCCTTCTATGAGACACATGTCTTTTCACGTTAGAATTACGGGTGTTAATTTAGTGTTACTTTGGAAAATAAATGTAAATGAATCATTTAGTTTTATCCATTATTATAAATGAATAATAAAACTAAATTAACACCCCTAGTTAGAATGAGAATTCTAGGAACAAAAAGTTCTATGAGTGGCATATCTAGGAAAAGTCAAAAAATGGAAAAAAATGCGACCCTGCTCCTGTTGTCATTTTTCTAAAAAAACACTGACTGATTATTCTATGATCAAACACACATAGATCGACGCAGAAATGTTTTCTCTATCTAGGAAAAAACTAATCAGCTCTGTGCAATAACAATCAGCCGAGTTATAAATTAAATACTGCGAAGTCAAATTTCGCTCGGCAGAATTAGGGATAGGCGCAAATAATTATTATTCTCCTAATGATAAATTGACTTTTTTCTGTATTTTATTCACGGAGGTCTATAACTTTGTTATACCGTATAGAACTACTACAGATTCATTGAGGCTTTCATAAATACGTATGTATATCAAAGAGGATTGTTACAGAACCAGTGTGATACGCTAAACGTCAGATCAGTGGGCTTTGAAAAGAATCTTAAAAGCACCAACATTCCTCTTCGAATACGTAGTTATTCGTTAAAAAACCACAACAGAAATGTGAAAGGTTGTTTGAGACTAATGGTCGATCAACCGTCACAGTAGCTGAATGATAGAAAGAGATGTCATTATGCCTCTACAGTGTGCTTTCTAACAGAATATATCTTTGGTAGTTGTTCGACTGTTGTCAATAAAGTTCCGATCATTCAGTTGCAATTCACGTATCCCACACGGTAGAATGACAAATTCCTCTCTACCAAGCTGTCTGATTTCAGCGGATCGAATTGATGAAGCTAGTGCATTTACAGTGGAATTAAGCCAAGCTGCTCTGTGTCTTTCGCGATTCGATTTCACGCACAGAAAAGATAACTTTTAATTCAACTGTCAGAATGTGTAATACATTCACGATCGTTTCCTGTTTTAACAAAGTCGTTTGTGGTGACATGTTGACGACCGACTGTCTCGATGACGTTGACTCCGCACCGTAGACCATCACGTGCGCGAATCTGCTCGCCGATTGCGGCCAGCCGTTCACGTAAGGCGCTGTCAGCGAGCAAAGTGTCGATAGCGTCCGTTAGCTCTTCATCGCGAAACCCGTATGTTTGTAGTCGTATGCCGAAGCCCAGCTCGTGCATCCGCTGGGCGTTGTCATACTGATCCCAAAAAAGAGGTAACAGGATCATCGGCTTACCGAAGTGCAACGAGTCAGTCGTGGTGCTGTTGCCGCCATGAGTTATGACGAGATCCACTTGTGGGATCACTTGTGTTTGGGGTAACATCTGCTCTCCGACCATGTTCGGCGCAAGCTCGATCAACTGGTGCCGCGGGCCTTTGCTAATGATGTACCAGTGCGGCGTCCGTGACAGCACGCCGATCAATCGTCCCATCAACTCGACGTCAGCTCCACCGAGTGAACCCAGTGAGAGGTAGATCAGCGCACTGCCGTCAGGACGGTTGCGCACGGACTCAGGCAGCACGTACTTTGTGTCGGTTTCGCGCACACTGGAGTCCATGCGGTGCCAGGTCTTGTCAAGTGGACGTGCGTCAATGTAGTCGGCCTCCTCAGGAAAAAAGTAGAGATTAGCCGTGGATGACGTGTGAATGAACTCTAGGTCGTCCAACGGTGGAGCGCCCTGCTCGACCACCCACTTGTTGAAAGAGGTCCATAGTGGACGGTGTACGCGGTCATACTCAGCGCGAAACGCAGCCCACTGTGAGCGATCCGCGGCGGGAAGTCCCGAGAAGAGGGGGGCGACGTTCGGACCCTGCATTTCTAGTGGGTTGCACGGCACGAAACGGATGAACGGTGCATCCGCTGTCATGAGCGCCGGGAAGCAGATCACGTTATGCTCGACGATAACATCCGGCTGCACTGCGATGACGATCTCCCGTAGTCGTGGCTGGGCGTAGTGTGCCCCGTCAACAATGGTCTGCCAGATTGGTAGGTAGAAAGACTCAAGCTGT